ACCTGCCAAAGTAAAGTCGGCCACCTGCCCAAGTCGGCCACCTGCCAAAGTCGGCCACCTGCCGAGGTCCTGAGTGTGGCCTCTCAAGAAGGATGTGACATTAGGATGTTGTGACGTCACGACAAACCCTGTAGACCTAGGTCGTCATGACATCAACACTAGATGTTAACCTTCGCTACACCAGCCCACACAACAGGTTCAACAGTCAACGCTCTGGGTTAAACCTGGCTACCTCAGGTGTTCTGGGTTAACCTGGCTAGCTCAGGTAAAAAGAACATGTTCTCGTGAACATTGAAACATACCGTGGTTAAACATAGCATCGAGACAATGGATTCTCCAGGTCTTTCACTGAAGGCGTGTCGTTGATTGAACAGGTGTCTGTGTGTGTTCCTGTGTGTATTCCTGTGTGTGTTCCTGTGTGTGTTCCTGTGTGTGTTCCTGTGTGTGTTACTGTGTGTGTTCCTGTGTGTGTTCCTGTGTGTGTTCCTGTGTTACTGTGTGTGTGTTCATTTGTGTGTTCCTGTGTTGCTGTTATTGAACCGTGAACTGTTATCCATTGCTTGTGTTGCTGGGGCCATCAGTTCATGACCTTTGACCTAGCCACTGGCCATGCTGTGAGATGGAGGCTGGCCGCCTGGCCCGGGCCGTGCTACACGGCGAGTGGCACAACGTGCTCCGGCTGATCCGGGACGGCGAGGACACCAACCGGCTGGACCTGGATGGCCGGAGCCTGCTCATGTGCATGTGCCGCATCCCCTCCATCCACGGGCCCAGCAAGACCGTCTACAACAAGATCTTCGAGAAGCTCGTCCTCTACAGCGCGCAGGTGGACCAGCAGGACGCTAACGGGGTCACGGCACTTGCCTACGCGGTGTACTCACTCGCCGAGGCGCGTGCTTTGTCCCAAGGTCAGTCCCAAGGTCAGACGCAGCTCAGCTGTATTGAGATGCTGCTGGACTACGGCGCAGACGTCAACATTGCTGACGTCACCAACGAAACAGCGCTCAGTCTGGCCGTGAAGTGTAACCTCTTTGACTGTGTTAAAATGTTTACCAACCTAGACCCCAGCAACTGGAAGCGGAGTCTGCAGTTCGAGTCCACGAACCCGCTTCTGCTGGCCTCATCCAGGCGCAGTGTGGCTGTGGTTGACAAGCTAGCCACACGGCTTGTGGATGTGGCTATCCACGACTCCCATGGCAACTCCCCACTCATGCTGGCGTTGTCCAGCTATCCTGTCCAGTCCCAGCGAGACAAGGAAGACCTGCTCTACGTCTGCCAGATGCTCATCAACTCTGGCTTCCCCGCCCAGTGCCAGAACTCGCTCGGTGTCTCAGCTCTCATGTCTGCCGTCTCGCTGACCAGCACCGTTTGTCTGACCGACATCTTCGAGCTGCTGGTTGGAGAAGGCGCCAGGCTGGATGTAGCGGACAGTGCAGGGGTCAGAGCGCTGGACCACGCCTTGACCTCCCACAGCCCCGTGGGGGTGGTGGACAAGACGCTCACGTGGCTGCTGGACAATGGCGCCGAGCCGGTGGTCGGCCACGCCCACCTCAGACAGCTGTGTCAGTTTGTCGGCAAGCTGTGCAGGCTGCCCAAACGTCAGCAGGTCTCTGGCTGGGCAGTGGACAGTCTGCAGCTGTCGTACCTCGTGCAGAACGACAGGACGGACTTGATCAGGCTGCTCACCTGTAGCGCGGCCCTGGACCTGTCGCTCACGTGCGCCAACATCTGTGCTGTGCTACCCAACCTCTCCCCGCTCGTCTGTGCCCTGGTCAACGAGCGAGTGGACATCGCGCGCTACTTCATAGCTAGCACGTGCATCATCAGCTCGGACCTGCGTCCAGGCGAGTACATCAAGCCCTTCCTGGCGCCCAGCGCGCGGACCTTCCTGCAAGACATCCGGTGCCAGCCGTGGCCGCTGGTCAAGCTGGCCTTCGTGGCCGTGTCGTCTGCTGTGGGCAGCGGCTCCCGTCGTGTCGGAGCCGTAGACCAGCTCCAGCTGCCGGCCCGGGTCAAGCGGATGTTGCTGTTCCAGGAGCCGGTCTGCCGGCTCTGTGTCCATGAGTGGGACGACATCCCGATATACGTTCGCAACTATGACGTCAGTCAGAGACTCCGCCCACTGCTCTACTATTGGCCGTTTGGACAAAGGAGTTTGAGTAGCTGTGAGGACTGTCAGCTCAAGTCGACTGACATGGTCAGTTGTCAGTGGGAGGACTGACATGGTCAGTTGTCAGTGGGAGGACTGACATGGTCAGTTGTCAGTGGGAGGACTGACATGGTCAGTTGTCAGTGGGAGGACTGACATGGTCAGTTGTCAGTTGTCAGTGGGAGGACTGACATGGTCAGTTGTCAATGGGAGGACTGACATGGTCAGTTGTCAGTGGGAGGACTGACATGGTCAGTTGTCAGTGGGAGGACTGACATGGTCAGTTGTCAGTGGGAGGACTGACATGGTCAGTTGTCAGTGGGAGGACTGACATGGTCAGTTGTCAGTGGGAGGACTGACATGGTCAGTTGTCAGTGGGAGGACTGACATGGTCAGTTGTCAGTTGTCAGTGGGAGGACTGACACGGTCAGTTGTCAGTGGGAGGACTGACATGGTCAGTTGTCAGTGGGAGGACTGACATGGTCAGTTGTCAGTGGGAGGACTGACATGGTCAGTTGTCAGTGGGAGGACTGACATGTTCTAGATCGGGGGAGGAGGTGGGGGTTGAATGACTGACACGGTGTTGTGACGAAAAAATGAGTCAAATGTCACACCATCAGCCAGAATCTGCTCACAAATCACGTGCACATCCTGTGATATTCTAAAGACCTCCTGCTGGTGAGGGGGTTGCTGTTTTGTTGACCGGTGGTGTCCGAATGTTGTTTCCATTGATTCTATATTTCACGTGATCAGGTTTATTTCAAACACACGTTTGTGATTTTATTGTTATTGTTTTATTGATAAAGTTAAATAAACTGTTTAAAAAACGTTTTTTAGTGCAGTAACTCTATATATGTTGGTCTACCTGTCAATGTGTTGGTGTGTTAGTCTACCTGTCCATGTGTTGGTGTGTTGGTCTACCTGCCGATGTGTTGGTGTGTTGGTCTACCTGTCCATGTGTTGGTCTACCTGCCCAGGTGTTGGTGTGTTGGTCTACCTGCCCAGATGTTGGTGTGTTGGTTTACCTGTCGATGTGTTGGTCTACCTGCCGGTGTGTTAGTTTACCTGTCCATGTGTTGGTGTGTTGGTCTACCTGCCGATGTGTTGGTCTACCTGTCCATGTGTTGGTGTGTTGGTCTACCTGTCGATGTGTTGGTCTACCTGCCGATGTGTTGGTGTGTTGGTCTACCTGTCCATGTGTCGGTGTGTTGGTCTACCTGTCGATGTGTTGGTCTACCTGCCGATGTGTTGGTCTACCTGCCGATGTGTTGGTCTACCTGTCGATGTGTTGGTCTACCTGCCCAGGTTTTGGTGTGTTGGTCTACCTGCCGATGTCTTGGTGTGTTGGTCTACCTGTCCATGTGTTGGTCTACCTGTCGATGTGTTGGTCTACCTGCCCAGGTTTTGGTGTGTTGGTCTACCTGCCGATGTGTTGGTCTACCTGCCGATGTATTGGTGTGTTGGTCTACCTGTCCAGGTGTTGGTGTGTTGGTCTACCTGCCCAGATGTTGGTGTGTTGGTCTACCTGCCCAGGTGTTGGTGTGTTGGTGTACCTGTCCATGTGTTGGTCTACCTGCCGATGTGTTGGTCTACCTGCCGATGTGTTGGTGTGTTGGTCTACCTGTCCAGATGTTGGTGTGTTGGTCTACCTGACGATGTGTTGATGTGTTGGTCTACCTGCCCAGATGTTGGTGTGTTGGTCTACCTGTCGATGTGTTGGTTTACCTGCCGATGTGTTGGTCTTCCATGCATCTCTGCCGATTTGATGAACCGAACTAGTGACTGTGCGATTAGACCACGTCGCTCCACTAATGTTTTGACTACCATCATCCAAATGTGGCCATTAAGTTGACTTCATTAAACATCCCCATTAACTTTAAGACAGCTAGAACACCAAACAGCTAGCTTTAATACCTTTCCTTAACAGACGACACCAAATACCTCCAACACATCGCAAATACCCGAAAAATCGCTACATTTATATATATAATAAAATACTTAAAAAAAACTTTTTTAAAAAACCACGTTTTTCTTGTGGACTAAAAAGTAGAAAATAACTATTTACATACATTTGATGACAAAAAACGTGGGTACGTTCACCATCAAATTTCCCGACCCATCTGCCCGACCCACGTTTTTTGTCATCAAATGTATGTAAATAGTTATTTTCTACTTTTTAGTCCACAAGAAAAACGTGGTTTTTTAAAAAAGTTTTTTTTAAGTATTTTATTTTCTCCTTTTTAGTCCGTTGCTACACATGAAAAACGTGGTTTTTAAAAAAGTTTTTTATATAGTTTATTTTCTACTTTATCTAATGACTTGATTAAGTATGACTTTACTAAGTGTTTATAAATACACGGACTAAAAAAATCTTGAGCGTCCAGGATTCGAACCTGGGTTGTCGCGGCCACAACGCGAAGTACTAACCACTATACGATCACGGCCAGCGCGCTCACATCGAATGGGGCCGAAGTAACTGTGTCAATAAGCCTACAGTCTTGTCGGTATCTTTAGAAATCATGTCCTCAATTTTATGGTCCTTGGGGCGTAATTAAATTAAGCTAATTACGGTCTCTAATTGCTAGTTTTTATGATTGCATCTGAAATTGTTAGGCGAAAGTAGCCTGCATGCCAAATTTCAGATCTATAGAGCAATCAGAAGTGGGCTAATTTTCGATGTCAATTTTAACAACAAACAAACAAACAAACAAACGCGAAGCTGAGTTAAGAAAAACGTGTTAAAAAACATTCATTTTAAAGGCATTACACGTCATGTTTTTTTTTACAACTTTTTTCTTACTAATGTGACTGCAACCAACGAAAGCGGAAATTTCCAAAATGATTACGTGTTCTGACCTAGTTTCGGTTTCGTGAATGACGGTACGGCTTAACCCGAGTGTCGGCACTATAAATTCAATTAAAAAAAATAAACTGTCATTTCAAGGTAGATATTCACATCAGCAATACATCACCCAGATACAAGCAATAGATCTAGACTCTATATGTAAGTAGACTTTAACTGGCCTAATTTTTTTGAGCACGTCAGTAGAGACTAGATCTAGATTATTCTAGATCTAGATCTAGTCTAGACTCTAGATCTAGATTTCACATTTCTAGATCTAGATCTAGACCTTCGCCTAATAATAATAATTATTTTGGCATATAGGGGTCGGCGTGGTCGAGTCGGTAAAGCTCATGGTTGCTAAACCGAAAAGTCTCCAGTTCGAACCCCCGGGCAGATGAGGCTCGTTAGCTGTGGGGACAGCCACTCTTCTAGGAGAGACAACTCCAAAATTAAACAACTGCTGCCTTGTAGTTTGTTCTTGGTTAGACAAAGGCTATGGAAGCAAATCCAAAAGGAAAAGCAGGCTAAAATCGGAGTCAATGGCCTCAATGGCGCATAACCAGTTGACACATAACGCTTAATTGTGTTGGAGGCGTGGTCGAGTCGGCAAAAAGCTCATGGTTGATAAATGTGAACAAAGTCTCGAATTCAAACTGCACTGGCAGATAATTCTCGATCCCCTTCAACACTAATAATTAAGAACGAAGAAGAAGAAAAATTAGTCATATGCCCATTAATATTTTAATAATAATATTTAGAAATCTAGATCTAGAATTTACGTTGCTCCGGTATCTCATTTGTATGTTATTCCACTGTGTATGTTTTCTTTTAAAATACCATATGATATGGTATGTGTTGGGCCAGTTCTGTGTGCTCTAGTGAGTGTTTGGGCTATTGAGTATTGACTGTACGGTACGTTGTAAATTCTACCTACAGTGTAGTGTAATATAATAGTGTAGGCCTACACTTTATGAGGCTAGAATTAGAATAAGTAGGCTAATAGATCTAGTGTAATACACCACGCTTAGTTTACTTTAAATCAGTTAATCTAGTCTACATTCTACATAATCTATAACAGAGACGGTAGTATGTAGGAATATTGTATAGATAATAGAGTATCTCAGTATAGTTACAGTATAGTATAAGTATAGATAGAGTATAGAGTATAGATCTAGTAGATAATATCATAATGATCTAGACATTCTAGATTCTGTGTCTAGACTAGTCTAGAGTCTAGTTCAATATGAATATAGATCTACTACGGTAATCGACTGTGTGTTTGTGATGAATCTTGATCTGAACAAGATTTTTTTTCACAAACTATCCTAATTTATAAAAGCCCAATGTGCGCACATCTCTCTCTCTCTCTCTCTCTTTCTCTGTCCGCAAAAAATTTTCGCCGGACATCACGTCAGAATCGGCAGCGGTATATGGAGAACTTTTTACGGACTTTTGTTGAAAATAATATGTTAGATGTTTTAAATGTATAACCACAATTTTACTTAAAGAAGAAAAATAAAAATTAAAGGCGTATTCGAATGTAGAGAAACAGTATTATTTATGCAACCGGAAAAGCATTAATATATGTGAAAAAGAACGCATAAAACTGTGACGTCACTATTGCTTATACATTAACTAATGACGTCATCTGCCGTGTTAAGAATGAAAAGAAATGAACTATTTCATTCAAATTTGATTTAGATCTACGTACACTATGACATGTATACAATACAATTTTTCCGGCCTAAACTCATAAAATTTATTTTATGTATTTGGATTCTAGATCTAGAGATTCTAGATCTAGACTAAATCTAAATCTAAATCTACGCAATAACTAGACGTAGACGCTAAGATCTAGATTTAGACTCTAACTTCTCTAAAATCAATTCCAAAAATAAATGTCTATATTAGGACTAAACTATTTCAAGACTTATTTATTTTATACAAAATCTTTGTTTGGAACTGGCTAATTTGGGATAAAAAATTAATTTGAAAGAATAGGCATATTCGCGTAAGTTAAGATTTTAAAATACGTGTTTCATTCTCCGTATTTTATAAGGTGCCTAAATAGCGGAGATGTTAGTGTACATTAAACCACGCAGGTGGTGCGGGTTCGAGACACAGCAAGTCAACTTGGTTAATGTATTCTTTTTTATTATGCTCGGGCTAAATTTTAAAAAAAAATTCTTTTAGGAATCTAGATCTAGATCTAGATTGTCGGGTGTCCGATAGGGCACTTCCCGGCGCCGCAGGCGCTTCAAATTTGGCATGATCTTGCCTTGGTGCGACAGAACACGGGGGCCGGTTGGCCGAAAAGTCTACGATGTGGGGGTCAAAACTGACCTCGACTGACCGGTACCTTATATGAGCTATAAATCGAAAAAAAATGTCCACGGAGGAACCTCTTCATAACTCTTGAGGTCGTAGACCGACCTTCGGGCGAATTAATTAAGCATTCAAATTCTCAATGTTTTCGAAAGCCTAAGCGAAGCTGGGCAGCATGCCTAGTTAATACTATTAGATCTAAGTCGAGATCTGTATCTTTTGGCACCATTGATTGCTGTTGCGTGATTCTAAAAAAAGATTGCTATAAATAGCATCAAATCACGTCTAGACTATCTACGATTAAAATATACGGAAATTTCCGATTATTGTTGTGGGTAGAGCCACTTTTAGTTTCAAATTTATTTATTTTATTGTTAGAACTTAATGATCGTCATTGTGATTTACTATTTTTACAAGTGGAAGGATTTCGATCTAGATCATTATCCGCTTGGTAACAGTTCGGAGACTATTTTGTAATTATTTAAAGGATTCTATTTCAGTTATTCATTTATTGGAATACTTGAAGTAGCCTACACTGAATGAGTGAATAGTTCGAGTGATTGTAAGTTTTAGCATCTGATTACATTTGTGTTTATTTTTCTAGAACCATGTCTGGCACCAACAATGAAAGTGGTCTGAAAATAACGGCCAGCCTCTGTGAGTCACCACGTGCACTACGCAGACGCATGCCAGGCAGTGCAGAGTCAGGCATCACAGTGACTCCAAAACCAGGGTACCCCCCTGCGGTGTACACAGTTGTACGAGACAGCTCTCAAGTAGATGGTGGACGCCCTGGCTCCGGTGTGTCCATCCACCGAGGCAACGTTCAAACACTGAATGAAGTCCTAGGCACCATCACCATTGGCGATGTTGTTGAAAATAAAGCTTTCCAAATTTTTGTGATGAACTTCTCCGACAGCAAGAACTACACATTCTGTGTGAAGAAGACCGACCTAGTGGAGCACCTGATGAAGCTGATCCAGGAAAAGCTGCGCATCCCCCCTGAGCAGCAGGTGCTGCAATATGCCGGCAAGAACCTGGCTCGTGACATCAAGCTGGAACACTACGGCATCAAACCTGAGTGTACAGTCCACCTGACTGGTCGTCTCAGGGGTGGATGAACACTTTAGGCTGAAACATTGTGTAGGCCTACAAACTCCAGTGTTAGAATAGTGAAAAACTGCAACATTTAAAACAATAAGGCGAGCTTGTGATAGTGATGTAAGCAACAGCTGGTATAAGTTGTCATAGTGATGTAAGCAACAGCTGGTATAAGTTGTCATAGTGATGTAAGCAACAGCTGGTATAAGTTGTGATAGTGATGTAAGCAACAGCTGGTATAAGTGGTGATAGTGATGTAAGCAACAGCTGGTATAAGTTGTGATAGTGATGTAAGCAACAGCTGGTATAAGTTGTGATAGTGATGTAAGCAACAGCTGGTATAAGTGGTGATAGTGATGTAAGCAACAGCTGGTATAAGTTGTGATAGTGATGTAAGCAACAGCTGGTATAAGTTGTGATAGTGATGTAAGCAACAGCTGGTATAAGTTGTGATAGTGATGTAAGCAACAGCTGGTATAAGTGGTGATAGTGATGTAAGCAACAGCTGGTATAAGTTGTGAAAAAAACAAAATCAGCTACCTGTGGGATGACCCGCAACGGTTTGAAAGACAAAATATTTTAATCCACACGAAGAAGTGTAAGCCTGTTTTTGGTATGTTGAGCCCTGTTAGTGAGAACTGTTTTGTTCCAGATTTCTATAACCTTCAAATATCTGACGGCAAATAAGAAAGAAATAGTGATAGCCCCGCCCCAAAGTTATTAATTCAAACAATTTTGTAGTAATCTAATGCATAACGTAAAACTTTGGCCGAATGAACTTAATTCTATACACGATTTGTTCTTACAAACTTGAATCACTTAATTATTTAAATTATTTAATTGTAAATATATATTTTATTCTGTGTTAAAATGTTGATCAGTTTGTTTATAACTTTGATAGTTTTATATATTACTTGTATTTGCACCCATTCAATTTGTTTTTCTTCCTTATGGACTGTGTGGTTAATTGTTCATGTGAAGTCCTTGTTGTAAATAGCTGATGTCATGTGAAGTCCTTGTTGTAAATAGCTGATGTCATGTGAAGTCCTTGTTGTAAATAGCTGATGTCATGTGAAGTCCTTGTTGTAAATAGCTGATGTCATGTGAAGTCCTTGTTGTAAATAGCTGATGTCATGTGAAGTCCTTGTTGTAAATAGCTGATGTCATGTGAAGTCCTTGTTGTAAATAGCTGATGTCAATTGTTGATGTTGAATAAAACAAAAGAAATATGAAAACATACGCAATTTTTTTAATGCTTTTGTAATTGTCATCTTCTAAATAAATACTTTTAAGTAAGAAGGTCTACAGTACAAAAATACCTCAACTATAACACTGTCACACCATGGCAAGTTCTGTGTGCTCTAGTGAGTGCTTGGACCAGTTCTGTGTGCTCTAGTGAGTGCTTGAGCCAGTTATAAACAACCCATGGGTGTTATAATTAATGTTCAGACCTGTAAATGAACATTTTTTAAAGTTTATGTTAAAGACAGTAAAAAACATGAACTCTACTTCATCTGCCCAATGAACTGCTAGGTCTAAAGAGGATTCTTTACCTTTTTTTTTACTATGATTTACTATTACTATAAATGTTTCAAAGTGACTGATTTCAATGTGACTTTAAAACCTTTGATATCTGTTAATTGAAAGTTTAAAAAGTGGTGTGTGAAAAAAAGCTTAAAATGGTACCATTAGAACAAGGCTCTAATCACATATCACATGTTCTAAATTCTATCAACATTTCAAAACTCTAAATTTCAGGCCATGTGAAATGTCCAGTATACAGCTGCCAGGGGAGGGGTTAGGTGGGGCAGAAGGGTTTTGCTCTCTAACACTATTTACAAGACTACTAGCAATCCTAAAAATACATTTTTGGCCATCTATTTGTAAGTTAACTAGGTACAGTTGTTGTAGGCTATGTGAACTGAGAGCATTAATAATAGCCTTCTTAACTTCAAGAATGTTAAAATTTGGCAAATTTTCACCACACATCAGGGGAATTCCCGTTTAAACCACAAATGAACTGGGAATTCCCTATTTTCTTGAAAGCCACAGCAAAATAGCACAACAGAACAGCTTGCTAAAAATAAACTTTGAATAAGCCACACAAACAGTACTTTTATGATTTATTGAAATGTATAAAATTCTTTGATCTGAATAGTTAGCACACTTGTATATAAGTCAGTAATATGCATAGATATCGGTTGGCTTAGTCAGCAGGTCTGAGAGTATACACTGGTATGTCCAAACTATGGTTGTTTGCCAATATCATATGTGGATGTTTATTTAATTGGTAAATTAAAACTATCTTCACAATTCAACTAAACAGGGCCTACATTTTTAGCCAATGCAACAATATTCTAAATTTTTTTTTACATATACAACTGATGGAATGATACAGGCCTAATACAAATAAAAAGCAATAATATTACAATGATAATACAAAAAAAGCATAAAAATAAGTAGAAGTACCCTTTTTTGATATGTCAATTAGTTAAAAAAAAAATTAAATTCTGATGCAATATGTGCATAAGCAAGACGACTACTGCTAATAAAAAAAACCACTGCGGATTTGATTAAAAATCTGAGCCATTCATTTAATTATGTTTGCCAGCTGACAGAAAACATTTTTATTGTTAACAATATCCCTCTTTGGTCTGTTTCACAAATGACTTCACACATTTTCCACAAGCCGTCATTTCTCTCAACCCCCCCCCCCCCCCCCCCCAAGAACTTCACACATGTGTTTCGACTGAGACTGAACTCAATTGCAGATTATTTGCAGAAATTTTTAGCTGGCAAAATTTTCATCTGACCTTTTAGTAACTTGGCTTGATGAACTGATACTGACAGAGCAAGGCTAGAGCTAATTCAGCCAAAACTAATGACCAGCAGGAAATTTGATCCATGTTCCAAAACGCCACTTGTGCACCACAGTTACAAACCTTCAATTTTTTAAAAAGATTTTAACCAGCTATAGTGCTGACCACACTATTTTTTCATTTGCCGAGGTCACAGTACAGGTGGCCAGCTATAGTGCTGACCACACTATCCTTTCATTTGCCGAGGTCACAGAAACAGGTCAACTCTATACTTAGTTAATAGAACATCAACATATCTGTAGGCTTAATATAAACAAACATTTCACTTTTCACAAAACAAATTCAAACAGAACATATAGCAGATTGAAAAATTTCAGAACTATGCTTAAGTTCACCAGATCATAATTTGAAATAGATTTTTGAAATTTACTTTTCTGTAATATTTTTTTCAATGAATATTCACATAGGAGGGAACCTAACAGATAGGTACCTAACCCACATTACATGCTGACCACACTATCCTCCTGTATGCCTGGGTCATTAAAATAGATGAACTCTACTTCCTCTACTCATGTCTTGGGCTTGAACAGGGTAAAAAAGATTCAGATGATTCACCAAGAAAAATCTGATTTTGTTTTGACATTAAAAGGTAACGATGATAAAGAATCATTAGAAAACAGATTTAAAGCTAACGACCTCCACCGGTTTTGTCAACAAAGACAAGTTGGCTAAACATTTTGACTGGTCAACAAGTTGGCTAAACATTTTGACTGGTCAACAAGTTGGCTAAACATTTTGACTGGTCAACAAGTTGGCTAAACATTTTGACTGGTCAACAAGTTGGCTAAACATTTTGACTGGTCAACAAGTTGGCTAAACATTTTGACTGGTCAACAAGTTGGCTAAACATTTTGACTGGTCAACAAGTTGGCTAAACATTTTGACTGGTCAACAAGTTGGCTAAACATTTTGACTGGTCAACAAGTTGGCTAAACATTTTGACTGGTCAACAAGTTGGCTAAACATTTTGACTGGTCAACAAGTTGGCTAAACATTTTGACTGGTCAACAAGTTGGCTAAACATTTTGACTGGTCAACAAGTTGGCTAAACATTTTGACTGGTCAACAAGTTGGCTAAACATTTTGACTGGTCAACAAGTTGGCTAAACATTTTGACTGGTCAACAAGTTGGCTAAACATTTTGACTGGTCAACAAGTTGGCTAAACATTTTGACTGGTCAACAAGTTGGCTAAACATTTTGACTGGTCAACAAGTTGGCTAAACATTTTGACTGGTCAACAAGTTGGCTAAACATTTTGACTGGTCAACAAGTTGGCTAAACATTTTGACTGGTCAACAAGTTGGCTAAACATTTTGACTGGTCAACAAGTTGGCTAAACATTTTGACTGGTCAACAAGTTGGCTAAACATTTTGACTGGTCAACAAGTTGGCTAAACATTTTGACTGGTCAACAAGTTGGCTAAACATTTTGACTGGTCAACAAGTTGGCTAAACATTTTGACTGGTCAACAAGTTGGCTAAACATTTTGACTGGTCAACAAGTTGGCTAAACATTTTGACTGGTCAACAAGTTGGCTAAACATTTTGACTGGTCAACAAGTTGGCTAAACATTTTGACTGGTCAACAAGTTGGCTAAACATTTTGACTGGTCAACAAGTTGGCTTAACATTTTGACTGGTCAACAAGTTGGCTAAACATTTTGACTGGTCAACAAGTTGGCTAAACATTTTGACTGGTCAACAAGTTGGCTAAACATTTTGACTGGTCAACAAGTTGGCTAAACATTTTGACTGGTCAACAAGTTGGCTAAACATTTTGACTGGTCAACAAGTTGGCTAAACATTTTGACTGGTCAACAAGTTGGCTAAACATTTTGACTGGTCAACAAGTTGGCTAAACATTTTGACTGGTCAACAAGTTGGCTAAACATTTTGACTGGTCAACAAGTTGGCTAAACATTTTGACTGGTCAACAAGTTGGCTAAACATTTTGACTGGTCAACAAGTTGGCTAAACATTTTGACTGGTCAACAAGTTGGCTAAACATTTTGACTGGTCAACAAGTTGGCTTAACATTTTGACTGGTCAACAAGTTGGCTTAACATTTTGACTGGTCAACAAGTTGGCTTAACATTTTGACTGGTCAACAAGTTGGCTAAACATTTTGACTGGTCAACAAGTTGGCTAAACATTTTGACTGGTCAACAAGTTGGCTAAACATTTTGAGTGGTCTACAAGTTGGCTAAACATTTTGACTGGTCAACAAGTTGGCTAAACATTTTGACTGGTCAACAAGTTGGCTAAACATTTTGACTGGTCAACAAGTTGGCTAAACATTTTGACTGGTCAACAAGTTGGTTAAACATTTTGACTGGTCAACAAGTTGGCTAAACATTTAGACTGGTCAACAAGTTGGCTAAACATTTTGACTGGTTAGTTTAATGAAACAGCCTGGTAAACTGAGATGTTTGAGTAGTTATTTTTAGTTACAGTGGCAGGTAAATGCAGTATGGATATGTTATATAAAGTATAAGTGATTGTAAACATGACAAAATATACAAATATAGGCAAAACTAAAGTTTATAACATCAGTAACAGTAATAACAATGACTTACAAAATGTCAATAAATATAACAATGTAAATAAGGATGGATAATATCAGTTGTGTATATTACACATCAAAATATGTTACTGCAAAAAATGTTGAATTGATACATCAGCAGCAGAACCAAACCATTTTGTGAGAAATCTTTGCTCACAAACATTTACAGATAGAGCCAAATATTCAGATAAAATATGCCAAATTTACATATTTAAGAAATTTATTTGGGTTAGATAACTTATAAGCAATCATGCTTTAAAAAAGGGGTTTATTATGCCTTTGGTTTCAGAATATTAAAACTAAAAAAAGTATATTTTGATGCTAATACATCTATAGCATCAACAAAATCTCACTCACTTTAAAAAAAATTGTAAATAAAATAATTTTATTTTACAAACAATCTGATGTTCTCTTCAAACAAATCTTTTTTTTTTTAATAGGGTGATCCTCATAATTAACATCACAGGAATCAATTTTCACCACACTCATTAATAGGGGTCATCCATTATGACGTCCACCACTGTATTTAGTACGGGTCATCCATTTATGATGTACACCAGTCTATTTAGTAGGGGTCATCCATTATGATGTCCACCAGTCATTACAAATGGCTTATCAGGTCATTAATGACACTTCACCAGTTGAGTTCCCCCTCCTAGAATTGTGTTATAAAATAAATCAAAACCCTTCCACTTATCTGTTAGAACATGCTTAGCCCCTTAATAAAAACCTCCTCTATGAAAGATTAACAGCATAGTTCACTGAGAATGCTGTATTGTCCTATGAAAGATTAACAGCATAGTTCACTGAGAATGCTGTATTGTCCTATGAAAGATTGACAACATAGTTCACTGAGAATGCTGTATTGTCCTATGAAAGATTAACAGCATAGTTCACTGAGAATGCTGTATTGTCCTATGAAAGATTAACAGCATAGTTCACTGAGAATGCTGTATTGTCCTATGAAAGATTAACAGTCTAGTTCACTGAGAATGCTGTATTGTCCTATGAAAGATTAACAGCATAGTTCACTGAGAATGCTGTATTGTCCTATAAAAGATTGACAGCATAGTTCACTGAGAATGCTGTATTGTCCTATGAAAGATTAACAGCATAGTTCACTGAGAATGCTGTATTGTCCTATAAAAGATTAACAGCATAGTTCACTGAGAATGCTGTATTGTCCCATCAAGTCCATGCCAAGATAGCCACAGCGTCTATACTTGAAACATTACAACACACTGGTGTGAGGTCTAGTCGTGGATGACATACGTCTGGTGCCTTAAACAACGTATTCGTCCTCCCCAATCACCATGCCCTCCACAGGTAACTGGCCGTTGACCTGGCACAGCGTCCCAGGTTGATTTGTCTTGTGGGTGAACCATACAGGGTCAGAGGTCAGCTGGCGAATCTTCTCATTTGTCCCAGGTTGATTTGTCTTGTGGGTGAACCATGCAGGGTCAGAGGTCAGCTGGCGGATCTTCTCATTTCTCTGCTGGATGATGTCGTCAAGACGTGAGATTTCAGCCTCCAGACTTTTCACTCGCTCTAGCGCCGTCTGACCCTGGAACTAGAACATAATTTGACATCAGTATTTTCTCATTTTTACTGGGACTACAGAGATAAGATTTAAACAACAATTACTTAATTATTTATGAATAATTAAACAAAGATTACTCAGAAAAACAAAATTTATAATTTGTAAAAAAAAACAAAAAACTGGTAGAATTGTTTCAGAACTTTGTAAAGTAAAGAGCATTTTCTGTATTCTACACCATGATCTCCATAACCAGGCATTAAGAGTTGATTTGTTTGTAATAATATATGGAAAAGCAGATTTGATTTAAAAAATATAGAAAAGATCGAGATCATATGATTTGTTCTGTTTGTTTTATGTGCTGCATCTTGTTTTCTTATGAATATAACTGGCTAATTTTGGCTATTAGCCCAGCCTTTCAGCTTGTGAAGGGATGACCTCTAAGCTATAAGAGCGCTAGGCTGCAAACCCTTAAGTCTTGAGTTCGAATCTGGGGCCAAGTCAGATGAACGTCAATGAGTCCACCCAGCTTAGATGGGTATCTAACTCACATTAGGGAAAGTAAAGGAGGCTAGCTTGGATGGGTGTCTAACTCACATTAGGGAAAGTAAAGGAGGCTAGCTTAGATGGGTATCTAACTCACATTAGGGAAAGTAAAGGAGGCTGGCTTGGATGGGTGTCTAACTCACATTAGGCTAGGGAAAGTAAAGGAGGCTAGCTTGGATGGGTGTCTAACTCACATTAGGGAAAGTAAAGGAGGCTAGCTTAGATGGGTATCTAACTCACATTAGGGAAAGTAAAGGAGGCTAGCTTAGATGGGTATCTAACTCACATTAGGGAAAGTAAAGGAGGCTGGCTTGGATGGGTGTCTAACTCACATTAGGCTAGGGAAAGTAAAGGAGGCTAGCTTGGATGGGTGTCTAACTCACATTAGGGAAAGTAAAGGAGGTTGGGCATAGTGCTGACCACAACTTCCCTTCATATGCCGAGGTCAAAAACATAAATTCTACTTCATCTGCCCTCACTAGGTGTAAAGAGAATTCTTTAGACTAACCCTGACTTCCTGGAGCTCCCTGCACCTGGCCACTGTCAAGGTGAGTACACCTCTGCTGCCAGACATATTTCTTTCTATTTCCTCAACACCTGCATTCAGGCACAGCCAGCCATTTACCTGGGGAGAAAATCATTTCATCACTAAACTTTTATCAAACTTGTTTTTATCACTAAACTTTTGTCAAACTTGTTTCATCACTAAACTTTTATCAAACTTGTTTTCATCACAAAACTTTTATCAAACTTGTTTTCATTACTAAACTTTTATCAAACTTGTTTCATCACAAAACTTTTAGCAAACTTTTTTCATCACTAAACTTTTATCAAACTTGTTTTCATCACTAAACTTTTATCAAACTTGTTTCATCACTAAACTTTTAGCAAACTTGTTTTCATTACTAAACTTTTATCAAACTTTTTTCATCACTAAACTTTTATCAAACTTTTTTCATCACTAAACTTTTAGCAAACTTGTTTTCATTACTAAACTTTTAGCAAACTTGTTTTTGTCACAAAACTTTTATCAAACTTGTTTTTGTCACAAAACTTTTATCAAACTTGTTTCATCACAAAACTTTTATCAAACTTATTTTTGTCACTAAACTACTTTTATCAAACTTGTTTTTGTCACAAAACTTATCAAACATGCTTTTCAAGATTTTGTCATCAAGTTATAAAAATTTTCCACACAATTTAAAAATAAATAGCTTTGCCATAAATAATTATTATAGAAAACATATTTGCATAAAATAATTTGGTGTAAAACTAATTTAGACAGCAGGATATGAATCAGAACTGGTGTTTAGCACCACGGGCTTCATGTGCTTACTTTGGTAACCTAAAGCTCTTCAACTAAATTCTTTAGCTTGGTAACCTAAAGCTTTGGTAACCTAAAGCTCTATAACTAAATTCTTTAGCTTCGCAAATGTTGGTGTACTGAACCTATCAAGTAATTACATGATCAGAAAAAACAGAATTTTACTTTAGCTACATTCTGCTTTGATTCAATTTGTTAATTTTTTATTTGATATTTTTCTTGAACCATCTGAACAAATGGAGAAGTTATTCCCCTTTGGTCATTTTTTAAAACTGCTGGTACTTGAAATCTGGCTAGTCTCTGCCCTACTACTAGGTAACTCAGGTAAGGCAGCATAAGCTCTAAGATCTTTGGTTTTAAACATCTCTTTAAGATAATTTAGCCTTCAAAAACATGAACTTTAATTAAATCAACAATAAATAAAACAACTTAAACAAAAATTATATTAATAATCTTTAAACTGCACTGAAAATTTAAATATAACAAAACTTGCTTTCTTAGGTAGCTAAAATATGTAAAAGATTTTTTTATGCACAACCAATGCTTGTATATACATTCAAAAAAAATGTCAGTGCATTGTGTTTTAAGATTTGCCACAAACCCAAAAAAAAAAAGACAATGTGAACTAAATAAAAGCTAAAACTCACCTCAACAATGATATCTCCTTTGATAAGTCTGCCCAACTCTGTGCCACTGTGAGCTGACTCATCAACAGCGACAACACTCACCACACTGGCACTCACCAACCCTGACAGCTCTGGCTGGTGTTTCACAGGGGTAAAGGCAGAGCCTGGCCCTCCTATCTTGGCCATCTGGCCTTTAGGGCTGACAGGTGAAGTAGAGTCCAGCTGGATTGACTCCTCTGTCAACTGTATGAGGTTGGTCAGTGTTGTGTACTGGGGCAGGTTGATGCATACGGGGAACAGGTCGTACTTGTGGCACATGTCAAAAATGGTGAGACTGGGCAAGGCAACAGGTTCAACAAACCTGAAACCACCTGGGAGTGTGTGCCCTCGTACACTTCTGCCGCTCCTTGAAACTGTCAGGGGGTGGGGCTTGATTTTCTTTTTGAAAGAAAATGGTTTCAGCTCGATCCCTTGAAAAAATTTTCTCTGATTGTTTGGAAGAAAAGTGTTTGAACTACTTTCAAAATCCCCTGCTAAGTTTGTTCTGGCAACTTCTGGCTGACAGAGATCTGTGGTGGCAGACATGGTTGATTTGGTCACGGCCGACATGTTTGATTTGGTCGCTTCAGTTTCTTTCATCAAGTTTTTCTCAGAGGCATCTCTGGCTTGCTTGTTTCTATTAATACTGTCAAAGGCATTTTGGAACTGATTAGAAAAGTGGACGTTTTGATTTGATGAAACTTTTCCTTGCTCCCCACTCCTGGGTGCCATGTTAGTTTCTACTAGCCTGCTCTGACTAGCATCATTGTAGAACTGGCAAGATGGGAGGGGTCGTGCAGACACAGGGGGCATGGCCATGAACTTGCTGGGAGGGAATCTTTGGTCTGGCAGAGAAAGTTTGTTATTTACCCTGGGGTACTTCTCATAGTCTAGTGTATGATTAGAGCTGAATAAACCTGGATCACTTGTGATCATCTCTGAGTGGTAACTGGATACATTTTGAACACTGCCATAAAGACGCATGTGAGTTAAGTTGCTTGTGGCAAGGTTTTTGCTTGAGTTCTGTATCTTACACTCAACAAAGTCAGAGTCAGAAAATTTCCTTTGCTGATGCTGTAGTGGATAATGCTGGGAATGATCATCAAGGTACATATCCGTAGTCGGATGCTGCGTGTTGATGCAGCTTCCATTAATACTGTCATTTTCATTGTTTGTGGTGTATCCTGAGTCCAAAGCACTGCCATTGTAACTGTAATTAGTGGCCGAGGTTTGGGCGGAGTCACTACTCCTGTCCCCGGGGGAGAGAGTTGCCTCCTCATAGGGTGGTTTGCTGTTGTCTAGGTTATAATAAAAGTGATCGGCAGGATTCAGGCAACTTTTGTAACCTCTAACCCTGCCGTTGTCTGCTTTGGCCTCTCTAACAAATGAAGGTTCCCTGACACTCTTCAAATCACTCAAAACTGAATCACTGCTACAACCATTTTGAAATTGTCTTTTTTGGGATCGTCCATTTACAAAATATCCAGTTTGAGATTGTCCATTTTGTACATGTATATTTCGATAATGTCCATTTTCTGATTGTCCATTTTGTGAATTATTCACACATTCCATGACCTGAGGTTTAGCGTCTTGTTCATCCCAACATGCAGGGTACTTGAAGTAATGTCCATCACTGAAGAAGCGGTGACCATTGGTCAACTTCTCTTGATTGTTGAAGACCGCTGTTGGATGAGAAAATTTAGTCTGAGGGCTGGTGGTGCTGCTATGTCGCCGTAACCTCTGGTTGTTAGTGATATCTGATCCTGACTCGTCAGAATTTTTCCTGAACACACTGTCATGTGAGGAGGCGCTCTCCTGAGAGTTGGTGCGTGTGGGTGTGGACTTGGCACTACCCCCATCAGACATGCGGGACATGCGAGATTTCATCATCTCCGTCATGCGCTTAATCTTCTCAGAGGTCTCCGACACAGGGACTGTGGGGAGACTTCGCTTTGGCTTGACCGGAGATTCCTCCCTCAGAGTGAGTGGCTGTTTGAGGAGGGGGTTCCTGTGTGAGGGTAACATCCTGTCAGGCAGGGCTGAGGGGCTGTTGATGGCAAGGGTAGACAGCTGTTTGCTGACAGCCTCAGACAGCAGGCAGGCCTGGGCTGAGTTTTTCCTCCCTGTCCCCCCCTCTGGTGAGGAGTTAAATCGCTGGTAGACTGACACCCTCTGCTGCTGGTTGGACTTCCAGTGACCCTGACCTTCATTGACATTCTTCACAACTATCTCATTTTTATCCAGACCATTTTCAATATTTTTCTGATTAAAAACACGTGTTTCATGTCTAACAGATAAGTCGGGACGGTTGTAGACCCTCCTGGAGTAGCCGTTTCCATTCTCTAGTTGCTGGAACTTAGAATTTAAATTATTGTCATCAATTTTTAAATTGTCCTGCACGTTGATTTCACTGGCCACTTTCTTCTGACCAACCAGAGAGAAGGTCAAGCCAGTGGCCAGATCCCCCAGGGAGTGGGAGCGGTGGTTTGGCTCCAGTCTGCTGGTCTGGGGGAGCAGATCCCCATGCAGCTGCTTCTTGTCCGGTGGGTGATGCTGTGGGTGATGCTGTGGGTGATGCTGTGGGTTAGGCTGCAGGTCCCCTTGTCCCAGCACAGAAATATCAATGCAGCTGTGGAAGACCTCGCCGTACCTGTCGTAACCCTGCAGCTGACCTTTGCCCTGTGTCCCACAGTTGCTGCAGCTGTCGTCTATGGAGGAGTTGAAGCTGGAGTTAGAGTAGGTGAGAGCTGGCTCCTTCAGACTTTGTTGTGAGCTGTCATGTTTCCTGGTGTCCCTAGCGTGGCAGTACTGGGCATAAGTGCCATTCTGCAGTACATGCTGCTCAGGGCTGAAGATACCCAGTTCTGGGATGGGCACAAACTTGGTGCTCCTGTAGACCTCGCCTTTCTTGCCAGACTTCCTGTGCCTGGGCTCTGTAGCGTAGATGTCAGCAGTCTGACTGTCTGGATGGCTGGCCTGTACAGGAGATTTAAAAATTCAATCATGGATTTTAAGGAAGAAACTAAAGAACAGGTTTTTTAAATACTAAGTGTACTTTCATACATACATTAAGTTTCTTAACTTACAAACATCCATGTTAGCTTAGATCTTTTAATTTAACTAATTAATTTTAAACTGGTGGCATAAAATTAAAGGGAGAATACTGATTTTTAAAATCATAATTTAAAAAATAAATCCATCATAAAGCAGTAAAAGTAAAAGAATTTTACATTAAAAAATTAGAATATCAATTGATTAAAGTACCCTTTGAACACTAACTTCCAAATTGGTTTGAATTTTCTTTTGATAGTTAAAATGTTTAAAGTGAAAATTATCATATAAATTAGTTTTTATTCCCTTTAACATTTAATTTGGTTTTATTTTCTTTCAGCATTTTGTTTGAAATAAAAATGAATCATATAAATTAGTTTAAACGTATCCTTTAAACCTGGTATGAAATGAACTAAAGCTAAGCCAGGGGTAGGCAAACCTCTTTGTTTGTGTGGATTAAGTGCATGGGTAGGAGGTCAAGCTGCCCCTTGTGTCTGTACAACTGTGTGTCTGACATGGTCAGGTTGTTGACTGACCGGGACATCAGTAGCTAGGGAAACAAAATCTTACAATCATTATTACAGACATCTTACATTCACAATTACAGACATCTTACATTGCAATTCAGTTTTGCCTTGAAAAATTAGACGATATTCAATTTTGGCAGGTTTAGTTTTCATAATTTCACCTTTTTAGACGCATCTTTTGGTTTCTCAATCAACAGCAGACACTTCTCCTCAGCCTGGCATCTTTCATAAACAGCCAGTACAAGATCCTTGTCTTTTAGGAAGGTTTGAACTAAACAAAATATTTTAGTGGACATCAGACATGCTTCATGGCTATAAATTACGTAATTAGAAACAAAACTATTAGTGTAATTTAACTCAATAGTTAACATGGACAAATGTGAAATTTTTTAACAGCTTGGGCTGTTAATTAGTAACTCAGTATCATACACAGCTATTGTCTTAGTTTCCTGTGAAAATAAAACCAATAACCGCTATGATGTCATAGTTCTAAAGATAGGTGCTCACCATGGCCATGACTGGTGCCTACAGCCACTGTGTATTTGTTTCTGTTGCGCTTTTTCCTCCCAATGGCAGGTATCTGCAGGACTGTCTGCGTGACTTTCTGCACGGTGTCCAAGTGGTTGATGAACACATTGCCAGCTTTCACCTGCGCCATACAGACACATTTTATAATCCCATTATGTGTGACAGGTGATGTCAATTGTGGCATGTGACAGTAGTGACATGAACTGTGGCATGTGACATGAATTGTGGCATGTGACATGTGACATGAACTGTGGCATGTGACAGTAGTGACATGAACTGTGGCATGTGACATGAATTGTGGCATGTGACATGAATTGTGGCATGTGACATGAATTGTGGCATGTGACATGAATTGTGGCATGTGACATGAATTGTGGCATGTGACATGAATTGTGGCATGTGACAGGAATTGTGGCATGTGACAGTAGTGACATGAATTGTGGCATGTGACATGAATTGTGGCATGTGACATGAATTGTGGCATGTGACAGTAGTGACATGAATTGTGGCATGTGACATGAATTGTGGCATGTGACAGGAATTGTGGCATGTGACAGTAGTGACATGAATTGTGGCATGTGACAGTAGTGACATGAATTGTGGCATGTGACATGAATTGTGGCATGTGACAGGAATTGTGGCATGTGACAGTAGTGAC